AAAACAAAAGCAAAAAAACCCGAAAAATAGATTCAGGGATAGGGCCATCTAAGCCCTTTGAAACTGAAGCTTTGTGTATCTGAGACAGAGCTACAGGATTTGGTATTTGTCCTGCTATGCTTCAGTCTTGCCTTGGTTGAATCTTCCCTCACTATGTCTCCATTTCTCTATTTTGGAGTGTAAATGGTATTCTATACCATTGTATGTTGGAAAGATGTAACTTGTTTTCTGATTTTTACAAGATGTTATTTGCTGTGGGACACTGGTCTAGTACCTTGCAAAGATTTGTCACTTGTATTAGTTTAATAAAATGCTGATTGACCAGTAACCAGTCAGGAAGGATATGTGGGGTGACCAGAACAGGAGAATTCTGGGAAGAGGAAAGGCCAAGTCTGCAGTTATCACCCAGACATAGAGGAAACAAGATGAGAATGCCTCACTGATAAAAGGTACCAAACCATGTGGCTAACACAGACAAAAATTATGTACTAATGTAATATGTGAGAATTAGTTAATAAAAAGCCTGAGCTAATAGGCCAACCAGTTTATAATTAATGTAGACCTCTGTGTGTTTCTTTGGGACTGAATGACTGAGACCAGGTGGGACAGAAACCTCTGTCCACAAGTCACTGTCAAGTGATTGTTTTGAGCATCAGAAGAGACTTTTAACATTTGAACAGTGTTGGGGCTATTGCAGACTAACGATTTGAAATGACCAAATTAATTTTCTCCTTGAATGACTATAAGCCTCTAGTGACCCAGGTCAGAATTTAGTTGATTGAATGAAAATCTCCCAGATAAGAAGATGTATTTTAACATGTGCCTCTTCTTGGTAACTTTCACTTGATTGCTTGTGAAATCATTAGTAGGAGGAGCCTCTCTGGATGAAATCTCTCATTGGGGCTGTGGTATGATGTAGTAAGGAGGGCTACTTGTTTGTTCCCAGTTGCTCAGCCCTGAAATAATCACACAGAAACTGTATTAATTAAGTCACTGCTTGGCCTTTTAGCTCTAGCTTCTTATTTAAGACTAACTTTCATTTTAATTTAACCCATTTCTATTAATCTGTGTATCACTTTGTGGCTGTGGCTTACCAGTTAAAGTTTCCAGCATCTGTCTCTGGCAAGGCTAGACGTCTCTCTGACTCCGCATTCTTCCTTCCAGCATTCAGTTTAGAGACCACCCCCCCCCCACCTACCTAAGTTCTGCCCTATAGCTCTGCTATAGGCACAAAACAGTTCCCTTATTAAACAATGATAATCACAGCATAGAGAGAGAAATTCCATATCACCTCCCAATTCTTCAACTCCATCAGAGACTCCAGAAGGATATAATATTACCTAGGTAAACAGGAAGTATATTGTAAGCAACTTCCAAAACTCTAGAAATGACAAAGACATCTTGTTGCCTGGACAATCACCCAAAGTTCTTCTGTGTTGTTGGGGGCATTCAATCATCAGCCCACAGGTCCATACTATCAAGCAGACTTTTCCATAAAGTAGGAAATTTGAAGACCTGCCTTGCAATGGAAAAGTCCATCAGTTGCTTTCTTCTGTGTCCTGCAGAATGTCTGGCAGACTCTTTCATGAATCAGGAATCCTGTGAGTCCTGCATGTCTAGTTTTATCAAGCATCCCTTCCTAGAGCAGTTTCTTGCCCAAATGGCTAAGAAACTCTATAATAAGCCTCTTCTATGCCCATCATCCTCTTGCAGTAGATTGGTGCTGCCAGGAGCAGATGTGTCTCATTGTCATGAAAAGTCTTAAGCTCTTAAAACATTTTAAAGGTCATATTCTGAAAGTCTCTGAAAGATTTGAAGAATCCCTATCTATCTGAAATACATTTCTGTACATCTAGAAAATCTAACTAACATGCTACAAACTTGACTATTACTATTATAGATGACTCTCTGTTTACCTATATTTTAATTATACATTACATTTTAAATGAGTGGCACAAATACAATGCCTTAGTCAAGAGCAGAAATACATATAAGAAAATTGACCTTAAATTAGTATCAGTAAACCAAGATCCATACCAATGCAAATCTCTATAGCATATCCCCTTTTAAATGTAAACAAACATTTATGAACAAAATTTGGGAATATGGGCATAGTTCTCTCCAAACTGCTTCCTGCTCTTTATTTGGTGAAGTAATTTTTTGGGTGTGTTCATAGTGACCTTTTGGGCGGTCTTGATGCATCAAACCACATTAGTCTGGAGGGATTCCACAGGTTCTCATCCTCTGTGGGAAAAAAAAGGATAACCTCTTTTCCAAAGCAACAAATCCTTAGACCCAAATTCTGAAGACATGATACCTTTAAGTATATATATATATATATAAATATGTGTGTGTGTTACTTAGCTTCTTTACAGTCAAAAAATTCAACGAAAACACAATAATATACATAATCCAGATACTATGTATGTAATCCATGTTTATGTGGCTTATTTTTTTATTCTATTACTTTTTAATATTTATTTTATTATCTCTACTCCTTTAATTTATGATTGTCTATACTCTGTGTCTTTAAAGACTTTGTTTCATTTTTATAAACCATTTACTTCTTTTTATAACTTTCTATATTTTTCTTCTCTCTCCCAAGCCTATGTACATTTTTTAAACACACCATGTCTCATTTAGAGGTCTTTTATGTATGAATCTGTCCTATTGTGTGTCTGTAATTCTTTACTGTTTAGGAGTGCTTCTTAAAATGCTAAGCACTTTTGAACTTAAGCTGTGCCATTGGTAGAGCAAATACGGCCTGCCTGCTTGCTCCACCCAGTCCGCCATGGCAGAGGCATGCTTGCTGCCTCTGAGAGCCATGTACATTGCCCCATTTGCAGGCATACAGGGGATCTAAGTTGCCAGTAGCAATCTGCTCACAGATCCCATAGCTGATCCTCCAGAAAGTCAGAGTTCACAGTGGCAGCATGGCCCAAAAAGCTAGCATTTCAAAATGGTGCAGCTTTTTTCCTGCTACCTCTAAATCAGAAAAACCTCTCTTAGAGGAGCCACAGCATGTCACCAGTAAGTAAAGTCCATTTGGGGAAATAAATGTGGCTAAACTTCATTTTTTTAGTGTCTAGAATTCCTTTCCAAGCTCTCTAAGATTTTAAGTGGATTTTAGTTGGCCACATGAGCACCAGTTTGTTGTGGGAAGCCATTTGTTAGTTCCCAGCTGCTCAGCCCTGAAATAATCACACAGAACTGTATTAATAAATCACTACTTTGCCCATTAGCTCTAGCTTCTTACTGGCTAACTCTTACATATTAATTTAACCAATTTCTATTAATCTGTGTATTGCCATGTGGCTGTGGCTTACCAGGTCAAGTTCTCAGCATCTATCTCTGGCGGGGCTCCATGACTTCTCTGTGACTCCGCATTCTTTCTCCCAGCATTCAGTTTAGTTTTCCCCACCTACCTAAGTTCTTTCCCATAGCTCTGCTTTAAGCCCAAAGCAGTTCCTCTTTTAACCAATGATAATCACAACATACAGAAGGCAATCCCACAATATGAGTTTCTGTAGCCTCAAACCATTTTTTATTCTTTGTGCCTACCACGTTGTGGTTGAAACTAATCAGTCAGCTTTCTTCTTTTGCTGTCATAACTTCCCCACCATCATAAATTCTAACACTAAATCACACAGGATTCAGTAGAATTAGCTGCTATTTGGTGCCTAGGTGGTTTTAGCCCACTGTTTTCATTTTTGTTTGTTTATTTTTGAAGACAAGGTTTGTCTTTGTAGCCCTAGCTGTCCTGAAAGTAGCTCTATATACCAGGCTGGCTTCAAACTCAGAGATCTTTTGACTCTGACTCCCAAGTGCTGGGATTAAAAGTGGGCCAGCATTCCTGGCTTTTTGTTTTAATATTGTTGTATGATGGTTTTGTTCCTATCAAGCATTTGCTGTTGTACTGAGCTTCACCCACATCTTGAATTTTAAAATTTGTCAGAGGGTTTCATTATGTTTCCCAGAATGGCATGTATTCATGACATTAATACTGCCTGTGCCTTCTGAGTCATTGGATTGCAGGTGCCTAAGCTTCTTCCTGCCTGTTTGTTTTGAATTTTTATTTTAAAAAGAATATTTTTGTAGTAGGAGGAGGGTGGCCCTTTGTTCCCTTCTTGGCAACGAAGATGGGATTGCTTGTCGTCCTGGCTAGCTTACACCCAAAATAATCACACAGAAGTTGTATTAATTTAAACACTGCCTGGTCCATTATCTGTAGCCTCTTATTGGTTAACTCTCACATATTGATTTAAGCCATTTCTAGTAATCTGGATATCACCACGAGGTTGTGGCTTACCGGGAAAGATGCAGCATGTCTGATACATTGATCAAAAGATGGTATTAGAAACCCCAAGCTGGGAACAATGGATAGTTATGATCCCCCATGTAAGTCTTTGAGCCCACCTACCTGTATGCAAGACCAGGAGGACTCTTTACTGTTGATCTATTTTTCCTGATCTGTGTTGATTATTTATAATCAGCATATTAATTGCTATTGTTTTCATTTGTCAATTTGTAACTTTAAACATACAGTGCTTTTAGTAAAATGTTATTTACATTGCAGTTAAAATTGGGACACTTCAGGTTTCTGGTAGATGAATAAAGAGTTCAAGTGAATGCATACCTCTTTGTAGAAACTTCAGCAAAAACCTATGAGTTATTTCTTTTATATTTGTTTGATGTTTTTATGTGAAACAGATATTTAATATGTATTTCTTGCTGTGCTAGAAGTGATTGCATAGACTAGGCTGGTATTCAACTCAGAGGAAGATAGATACACATGCCTCTGCCTTCTGAGTACAAGGATTAGAGGTATGATTCAATACATCTGGCATTTTCGTCTTATTTTTCTTTTTGTAGTTAGGAATTAATCTTTCATACAGTTTCTCTTATCTGTACTCAGTACTCTTGATCTGTTTACATATCTTTCATTGTTGGTTAGTAGGCATTTCTCTTGCAAGGTGATATCCCATTCAAAGGGTTCAGAAATGACAGAGGTGAGCCTCCTATTCATTTTGCTTCTAAAGTGACTTGGTGATTAAATTATGATGTCTGTGTAATGGAATAAGTATAGGGAGCACCAGAATTATATGACTATACTGTCAAAGAAGTATACATTTACAGTGTTGTCAAAATCATGCTTTTGTTTGTACACATGTATGTGATATTTTAGAATACAGTGACCTATGATGATGTGCATGTCAACTTCACTTGGGAAGAATGGACTTTGCTGGATCCTTCCCAGAAGAATCTCTACAAAGATGTGATGGTGGAGACCTACAGAAACCTCACTACTATAGGTAAGACTGAATTATCTTTTATGTTTCAAATAAGGGGACAACTGTTTATTGGTTAATGGTGCTCTTTTGTAACATGATTGAGAAAGAAGAATGAGGTAAATAAGTCAGGCATGGTTATAAGGTTTGCTACAAATGGTAGCTAAATTTTTTTTTTTACAATTTTTAATATATAATGTCTGGCACTATATTTTAGGATACAGTTGGGAAGACCATAATGTTGAAGAACATTGTCAAAGTTCTAGAAGACATGAGAGGTAATTTTCATTTATAAATATACAAATATACCTCTGAAGAATTGTAATGTATCCTATATGTTTTAAACAAAAACAGCAGTGTAAATAATAACATGCATTGATAATTATTAAATTCTCACAAAATCTTATACCTTAATTTCAGATAGGTAAACTGCATTTGCAAGTCATTCTTTTAAGAAAGAAGTCAAGGAAACAATGTCTTAACTTATATTACCATTTGAATCATAATACAATGAGAACTATACTGTAAAATTGTCTGTTTATTTCAGATTATTCATATTATAAAAGATATACATTTAGAAATGGTGATAACTATATCTCTAAAATTCTCTATTACAGAAATAGTCCATAGAACGGGTAGTTTAACCCATATAATTCTTAAGTTTAGTGAGGGGGCAGTTAGAGTTACCAATAAAGTGGCAGCTGTTGTGGAGAGGCCTTAATCCAGATGCCACAAGTCTATGAGGACATAAAGTGTGAACTCAATGTGGAAATCTTGCATCGGTTATTCTTCCTTTACTAGGTATATCATATGTTACTCTGGATACCAGCCACATGAGCAGAGGGGTGTGAAACGATATAGCATACCTCTCTCTCAGAATAGACAGAAGATATGTAGCAGTCCCCATGTTGAGTATAGTTGTTGAATTTGATGTAAAAGTATATAAGTAATTGGTTTTATAGCCTCATTGTTAATATATCAACAATCTCACATTTCAGAAAAGCACCATGAGTACTAGGACTGTATAAATATTTTTGTTTGACCTAGTTCACTTAACAAATGTAGTATCACTCACAGTAGAGGAAATATTATGAATGCAATAAGAGTGGTAAAGCTCTGAGTTTTTTCAGTTCTCTTCAAATACACGAAAATTCTCATGTAGAAAAAAGATTCTGTAAATGTGAATCATGTATCTTTAAAAATAAAAAGCAAGCCTTAATAAAGGGGAAAAGCAAAATTGTAAACATGGTAATAAAACGTTAACATATAATTCCTCTTTAAAATAGGACTAAATTGTAAAATTAATTCATACAGATAAAAAATTCAACAATGTATTAAATGTAGTAATGCTTTCACATGTACCATTATCATTGTAGGCATGAAAAAAGTCAAACTAGAGAGAAAACTTCTGTATATACTCAAAGTATTAAAGCCATTACGTGTGACAGTCATCTTCACATGCATGAAAAAACACATACTAAATTAAAACCCTATGATGGAAATGAGTGTGATAAAGCCTTTTCACATCACAGTAATCTTCAAATGCATAAAAAGACATACACTGGAGAGAAGACTTTTGAATGTAATCAGTGTGGTAAAGCCTTTGTATGTCACAGTGATCTACAAAGGCATGAAAGAACCCATACTGGAGAGAAACCCAATGAATGTAACCAGTGTGGTAAAGCCTTTGCATGTCACAGTGAACTCCGAAAGCATAAAAGAAGCCATACTGGAGAGAAACCCTATGAATGTAATCAGTGTGGTAAAGCCTTTGCATGTCACAGTGAACTCCGAAAGCATAAAAGAACCCATACTGGACAGAAACCCTATGAATGTAATCAGTGTGGTAAAGCCTTTGCATGTCACAGTGAACTCCGAAAGCATAAAAGAACCCATACTGGACAGAAACCCTATGAATGTAATCAGTGTGGTAAAGCCTTTGCATG